ATCTTGCACAGTCTCCCTTGTATAAATGTTAATTCTACATATATTTTAGACCCCACAAGATAATAATGTTTGGTTCAGTCAATATACATTTATATTTACCCACATATTAAAACTTTCTGTTGCTCTCATTTTGTTTTAGTTTGGGATCATTTTTCTTCTACCTAAAAGAATCTTTAGTACTTATTTTAGTGCAGCTATGCTGGCCACAATGTCTCTCAGTTTTTGTTTACCTGGAAATGTATTCTGCCTTTACGTAATACTTCAGTGAAGTTTTTTTTTCCGTACAGTAACATTCAGAGATTTTCTGTGTACAAGTTGATGACTTTTGACAAATCATATGTATATATATGTGTATGTGTGTATGCATAATATACATACATACACATATGTTATATATGCATATACCACACATACACATGTGATATGCATATATACACATATTTATGCATAGTGATACATATATTCACATGTGACATATATATGTATGTATAATATATATACACATGTATTTATATATATATATATATATGACACTGCAAGATAACACCCCAGCAATATGCAGTCAATTTCTCCTTTGCTCCTATCCCCCTACCCAGGAAACCACTGCTCTGATCTAGATCAGATTTCTAGAATCCTATGAATGGAATCATATACTACATGATTTTTTGAGTCTTCTTTCTCTCAGCATAACATCTTTGATACTCATTCATGTCATATTAGTATTTCATATTTATTTTAAAATTTATTTTTAAATTATTTTTGGCTGCGTTGGGTCTTCGTTGCTGTGTGCGGGCTTTCTCTAGTTGCGGCGAGCGGGGGCTACTCCTCCTTGCGGTGCGCGGGCTTCTCATTGCAGTGGCTTCTCTTGTTGTGGAGCACGGGCTCTAGGCACACGGGCTTCAGTAGTTGTGGCACGTGGGCTCAGTAGTTGTGGCTCGCAGGCTCTAGAGCACAGGCTCAGTAGTTGTGGTGCATGGCCTTAGTTGCTCTGCGGCATGTGGGATCTTCCCGGATCAGGGCTTGAACCCGTGTCCCCTGCATTGGCAGGTGGATTCTTAACCACTGTGCCACCAGGAAGTCCCTCACATTTACTTTTGAATAGCACTCTACTGTATGAATGCACCCCAACCTGCTGATCCACCCACCTGTAGTGGCCCTCTGTGGGAACAACAAGCTACCTTATCAGAGCTGGCAGTGGAAGCCCCTTGTTTAAAAAAAAAAAAAAAATTATCTGAACCTCTGAACCTTTTCAGAAGGCAGAGTTCTAGAATGAGAAGTTACTAAATCGAAACTTTTCACAGGCTCTTGATAAATACGTCAAATGGCTTTCTGGAAGTTTTCTGGTATGAAAGTTCCTGTCTCACCGTGCGATCAATAGCATTTTTGTATCTTATTTTCTGATATTTTCAAGCATGCAAAATTGAATCTAATCACTGAAAGGAATTTCCCTTCATTCTAAACCACTAGGTCCTATACTTATTTTCTTCCTGAGTTTACAGAATTATCAGTGACCTTACTTCTTTAACCCCCATCTCACTGACTTTCTGAGAAACTAATCTGAAAAGCCAATTCAGAGTCATTTCTGGCGTCCATATTTCTGGGAACCAGATGCCCATGAACTGAATTTCTCTGCAGTGTTCCATGATGTTGATTTGGTCTGCCCTTGGATTCTGTTTACCGGGGCAGGATCAGCTTTCTTTGTTTCCTTTCCCATCATCCATGCCTTGTTAAGTTCCTGCTGAATTGAGCAAACTCTGCAAATCTGATTAAATCTCAAACCAGAGCTCTGGATGTTGCAAAACAACAGCCTCCTTGCCAACTGGCTGACATGTAATTCATTGCTTTGGTTAGGTGGCCATAAATAAGGGGATTTTCCTTAAGTTTCTGCCGTTGATGGTAAGAGGTAGTGATGTCTGTGGGTGATACTACGGGGAAGGGCTGGGAAGACACGTCACTGGTTTTGTGGGAATCACAGGCTTGGAAGAGGCAGAAGCCAGGAGTGAAATGGGACCCACAGTGAGGATGGATGAGGATTGGGAGTGGAGGAGTGAAGGGCATTGTGTAACACCCTTTCCAAGCCTTGGTAAGAATGGAGCCATAGGATGAAAAAACCCTGAATCACCAAGGGGGGAAGGCAATTCCCTTTCCAGCTCTCTCAGATTTACCATGATCTCAAAGAGAAAGTCTCAATCTTGTGCTACTATGTCTTTAATACCTCTCAAATGCTTCTAAGAAAAAACAGGCCTCAGACCAAGAACCTTTCAACACTGTTGAGCTGGAGTACAATAGCATGGTTTTATTTCTAGCGAATTTATTTTTGTATTACTTTCTATTTATTGCAAATGATTTTTTTGTTTACAATGGTAATATAAATTTTCCTTTAAAATTAGTCTGAGTTGTAAAGTCAAGTCAATTTAAAGCAAAAAGTTAAGCAAATAACTTTGCTTATGGGACTCAATTATGGCCAAGAAAAGTGACTATGGTGCCTGAATGACTGAGATTTGGAAAACACTGTCCCAAAGGAAGAAGATAAAGAGAGTACTCTGAGATCCTACAGTTGTGGATTTAAAAAATTATTCTTTCTCCAATTTCATTCATTCATTTATTTGCTCACCATTCAGCACAAGTGTTTTTTTAAAATATAAATTTATTTATTTATTTATTTTTGGCTGTGTTGGGTCTTCGTTGCTGTGCGTGGGCTTTCTCTAGTTGCCGCGAGCGGGGGCTACTCTTTGTTGCGGCGCGCGGGCTTCTCATCGCGTTGGCTTCTCTTGTTGCGGAGCACGGGCTCTAGGCATGCGGGCTTCAGTAGTTGTGCCTCGCAGGCTCAGTAGTTGTGGCACACAGGCTTAGTTGCTCCGCGGCATGTGGGATCTTCCTGGACCAGGGCTCGAACCCGTGTCCCCTGCATTGGCAGGCAGATTCTTAACCACTGTGCCACCAGGGAAGCCCTAAGAGTGTTTTCAAAGAAACCTTTCTCTCTTATTTTTCTTTTTGACTTTTCAGATTCCAGAAAGAAATTGGAAATTGAAGATTTAAGGAGAGAATGTTTTAAAATATTCTCACTTTCTTCAAAGAACACATGACAAAAACTTAAAAAGGTATTATTAACCAGTAATTTAAATATACATTTAACATTATCAACTGGTATCCCTTAAGGGAACTAATTTTCTAAAGTTATGGATCCTTAAGTGGGTCATAGAATTGACGACAATAGAAAAAGCTGAATTAGAGTCAAATCAATCAGCATACTTTTAGTGCAATAGTAGCTAATCACTCATTTTCATCCCTTTAAATTCCATTTGGTAAGAATCTCTTGCCTTTGTGTTGTTTATTTTTTTTAATTTATTTATTTTTGGCTGCTTTGGGTCTTCGTTGCTGCACGCAGGCTTTTCTCTAGTTGTGGCGAGCGGGGGCTACTATTCGTTGTGGTGCGCGGACTTCTCGTTACGGTGGTTTCTCCTGTTGTGGAGCACGGACTCTAGGCGTTCGGGCTTCAGTAGTTGTGGCACACGGGCTCAGTAGTTGTGGCATGTGGGCCCTGGAGCACGTAGGCTTTAGTAGTTGTGGTGCATGGGCTCAGTAGTTGTGGCTTGCAGGCTCTAGAGCACGGGCTCAGTAGTTGTGGTGCATGGGCTTAGTTGCTCCGCGGCATGTGGGATCTTGCCGGACCAGGACTCAAACCCATGTCCCCTGCATTGGCAGGCGGATTCTTAACCACCGTGCCACCAGGGAAGTCCCTTTCTGTTGTTTAGAATGTTAGAATGTACTGTCTTTTGCTCAGTCAGTCAGGTTATGAAAGGAAGGTTACTGTGTGGGGTCCCACTGAGAATCTGTATAAGGCTTGCATTTGGCAACTTGATAGGTAAAAGAAGAAAAAATGCAGGTGTGTCAAAGATCAGAGACTAGTATGTGACTTTGTGGAAAAAATGTGAGAACCACTAGGCCTGAATGTTAACATATGTGGGCTCATGAAACATACATGTTTAGAGGTCTATGAATTTTTTTTTGAGTTCTATAAAAAACATTTAAAACTCTCTCTCTCCAGAGTGTGTGCATTTTAGACAAAGGGCTAAGTGGCCAGTTCAAGGCCTTTCTACTTCCAAGCGTGTGATCCATTTATATCCACAGGATGACTGGAGAATTAAGTGGCTGAGAGATCTTACTCTAAAAGAAAGAAATCAGTGCAGTTCTGGGGTAGTGCAGATAAACTCAAGGTATTTTTTTAATACCCAAATAAAAGAGCTTGGGCCCCTGTCCCTACCGAGGCAGGAAGTTCAGCACATGCATGAGGTTTTCAGGGATTTCCAGGGAGACGTTGTCTCCTGGTCATCCATTCCTTGCAATTGTCACCTCTCCCTCTCACCTTCCTTCTGTCCTGCTTCACTCCATAATGGCCATTGCTGCTCCTTCCTTCCCTAAGGTGCTTGTATGTAGCCAACTTGGCTGGAGATATAAGGAGAGCTGGGGCAGGGGTGTGGGGAGAGCTACAGCACAGCCCAGCACAGGCAGTAATGACTGACACATCGCTGTTCCCAGGTTCCTGGGCTCTGACTGTCACAGGAGACTTCATGCCGGCTTGCTCTCTCCTCAGGCCGTTTTGTGCTCAGACCCTCTCTCCCACCAACCTCATAGCTCCTCTGCTCCCAATTCTGGGTGCTATCCCCTCATAGGGCATGTGGAAACTTCCAATTCCAGTTACCTAATTGGAAAATATACCTTTGCACCCCTATCCCAATCTAGGACTGAGGCACACTAAAAAAATAATAATAATTAAGAAGTTTTGTTAAACAATAGTATTGTCTACCTCTGGTCATCTACCCTAGTGGTGTAACCCACAAGCAGGAGCAATTAAATTATGATTTTTACTTTATTGCGTCTCAGATCAAATATCGTAAGCATGACTCCTTCCTGTTCTAGAGAAATTCCAGGACCGGAGAAAGGGGGAGGGATCTTTCCCATGGCTTTGGTTTTGTTGGTGACTTCCTCTGTCTCTTCAGGGTTTGCACTGAGAGGCTGTGGCCGTGGATCCTGATTGCCCTTCTGCCAGGAAGGCACATGCGGCCAAAAATGAATTTGGGAAAAGCAGCCACTTGCTCCTGTAACCATGGAAAAGCAGGGCCGCAGTGAGATGGAAATAATCCGGTCAGAGTCGCACTCCTACATCAAATTGTTGAAGGTCAACCGGGAGCATCTGGTCACTCACGTCCGCAACACTCAGTGTCTGCTGGACAACTTGTTGCAGAATGAGTACTTCTCCGCCGAAGACGTGGAGATCGTGTGTGCCTGCCCCACGCAGCCCGACAAGGTGCCGGTGACAGGGATGCCAGCCTTGGTGGCCAGACGGGGCTTCTCCCCATTGACCTGGGTGAAGAGCTTTGGGAGTGCAGTACATTGGGTGGAATTTCCTGTCGGGGCTTATCTACCGCACAGAAAGGCTTGAGTTACCAGCTCATTCCACAGTTACGTATGTCACTTCTGTGTTCCTGAAACACAGCAAACTCTTCTGACCTCTCCATTCTCCTTGCTGTGCGTATTGGTTCTCAAACAACTTGTTTTCCAGTTCACTTTAAATGAGTGAATTCTTTAAAAGGAAAACGAGCAGGAAACACTAGCAGTGCTGCCCAGTCCGTGCCCTTCAACTCTGGAGAGAGCTGCTCACTGCTGGGAACGGCTCTGAGAATTCCTCTGGTTGAGGAATGGCTGCATCCCAGCCTGGGTCCGTGGTAAAGAATCTTCCACACTCCACTGTGGGAAGTCTTCACAGCCCTTAGTTTCACTTTAGCTTTGTGTCATCTTCTGAAAAACAGAATGGCAAGAGGAAAACCTCCTTCTTGGGGAGGGAGTGACAGGACTCATTTGTAACACGACCCTGTTGGGCTCAGAAGAGACCAGAAGGGTTTCTGGGAAAAGCACAGTAGGATGCTGTTGTGGTTTTTTTTCCCTGAAGTTTTAATAAGACAAAAAGCTTTTGTAAGGTACACCTTACACGGGGGCCTGCTGTCCCCTGGCTGTGTGGCCCAGCACCCATCTCATTATGCCTAACGGGTGACTTTCTCCCCCTCAGCACTCATTCCCAGAGAGCAAAAGTGTTAGCTTAAGAGGGAAAAGGAGAAAAGGAGGGAAAGGGAAATTCCAGGGGGGCGCTCGGCTCTAGCTGTGAGTCTGACCTTTCTATTTTTAGGCTCCTGGAAGCCTCTGGTTTCCTAGAGCTGTGCGGTTTGTTTCTTGCTCAGGCGGTTGGTCCATTTTACAGATCCTGGGCATTTGGCGTGTAGCATCTCATACCAGCTGGGTGGACGGTCAAGCTCGAGGCTGTAGTAAGAGCTCAGAGCCCCACATGGGAACCTCTCCAGGGCGCAGACACCCCTAGTGCCGGCTCACACCTTACTGCTTGTGCCGCACTAGGTCCGCAGAATTCTGGACCTGGTGCAGAGCAAGGGCGAGGAGGTGTCCGAGTTCTTCCTCTATGTGCTACAGCGACTCACAGACGCTTACGTGGACCTCAGGCCTTGGCTGTCGGAGATCAGCTTCTCCCCTTCCCAGCTCATTCAGAGCAAAGCTGTTGTCAACACCGATCCAGGTATGAGTCAGCCCCGGGGAGACCGCAGCCACCAAGCAAGCAAGGCCCCCGGGGCTTGGAAATGCTGTCTGTGTGGGTCCAGCAGGGGATAAAGGCGGGGTCCACCTTGACCAGCCCTGCCTTCCACCTCAGGCAGCAGGCTCGGCTGCTGTGTTCCTTTTAGAAAGGAGAGCTGGTCCCTGTCACCCTAGTGCAGCCAAGGGAACTGTGATTGAACTGACCACAGATAGCTGGTCTGATTTATGTAGGGAGCCATGGAAGTGTAGGAATGACCTCTGTTCTGGCCTCTTTCTGACTTCCTTTTCTGACCTATCTAGACATTTTAGTGGTTGTACAAATTCAAGTTTGCATTTCTTTCCTTCTTGAAGATCTTTCCAAATTTGATTCCAGGCAAAGAATTCTTCCATCACCCCTGACTGCCAGTCCTTATTTCCAAAGCAGCGTGGGCCCCTTTTAGTTGAATGATTAGTTCAACAGGTGTTTGTGATGCACTCAGCAAGTACCAGGGCGGGGCGTGCTGGATGCCAGAGGCACAATAGGGAGCAGACCCAGCTATGGTTCCTGCCCTCAGGGACCTCAGAGGTTAATGCAGGAGACTGGCAGTAAATGATGACACAAATGTGTAGTTGCAAGTGGTGATAAGGACAACAGCAGTTCAAGGTGCTGAGAGAGCACAACACTGGGACACAGTCTGGTCTGGGGACCAGGGAATCATCTTTCCGTGCCTGTGGTCTCTCCACATCCTGACAGTTGTTGGTAACATACCAGCACTGAGCTTCCAAACTCTGAGTTTTAAAGAATCCAGTTTGACCTTGAAAACAGAAACAAAGGACAGTGTCCCAGAGTGTCAGGTGTGTGTTTAGGGGAAGCCAGACCAAGAGACAGAGTGTCAGGGACAAGCTCTTGCTTCTGCAGTTACCAGCCGGCCACTGCTAGCTTCTTACTGTTACTACTGCCCCTGCCCACCTCACTTTGTTACCTTCCCCAAGATAAAAGGAAAATATTCCTGTGATGAAGAGTTCTTGCAGAAGACTTCTCCACTGGCTCCTTTACCCAGCTCCTGTAACAGCTTTGAAAGTATAATTCACTCTACAAGAAGCCAGATGTGAAAGACGACATATTGTATGAATCCATTGATATCAATGTCCAGAAAAGGCAAATTTATAGAAACGGAGAGCAGGTCAGCAGTTTCCTAGGGCCAGGGGTGGGGCAGAGATTGTCTGCAAATGCACTTATGACAGAGAGTGTACCCCTCGATTTTAGTGATGTTTGCGTTAACTCTGTAAATTTACTAAAAATCATTGACAACAATACCTGCTGTAAAATAGGTGAATTTATAGTCTGTAAATTTTGCATTACCAAAACTAAAAAATAGAACTCACTTCACAAATTTTAAGCTGACAACCAAGTGGGACTAAGTTGATGGGAAAGGATTGTAGATGAATCTGGAAATGTGCAAGTGTGTCCAATTTTTGTTAATTGAATTATCATTAAGACCCAAAAACTATTTAAAGGAATTTTGGAACACCCTTTTTTTTTGTCTGGAGTAAGCTCGTTTTATAGCTCGTTTCTGCTGAGAGCGTGGCACGTACGTCAGCATGTTACCCCATGTCAGCATATTAACCCATGTACTTCCCCGTGGGCAAGCCCAGGGCTCCCCCTGCGGCACGTGCTGAGCATCAGTGATCCCCAGGCCTCAGCTTTGGAACCAGGGCCTCTGTGCCCTGTGTAGTGTAAGAAGGCCGGTTTTCACTTTAGTTTGCCCACTCAGTTATGGTGAAGCACAGCCCCTTTTTAGTCCATATCAACGTCAACTGTTGTATCTTATCGCAAGAAGTTTCGGCATTAGGTTTTATGAGACTATTTGTTGTTTTAAGAACAGTGTCATAAGCACAAGAAAGGTTAGGGCAATTTCTTCCTCAACGATACAAGTTTCAGTGGGGACTGGCTTGCGCTGTTTGAGCAGGACCCTGGGGTTGGGCTGGGGCAGCAGGGCCACGTGGCCTGGCCGTCACATTTGAGGGGGCTTCGGTTTTTAGCTGGAGTTCAGGGACAACTTGCGCAGAGGAGTAGGGAGCCTGTCTCTGACACTGATCCCAGTTGAATTCTGTCCCCGCTGGCTGGCCGAATCTGAGGTCAGACAGAGGGGTGGAGGCCCAAGGGCCCGCAGATTCTGGAGCGCCGGCTCTTTGTACTTGAGGAGTGCTCGCACTTAGCCTGACCGTCCAGGCTGCGGGTTCGTTTTCCTGTGTGCTTGCTCCTCCGCCTGAGACCTCCCTATTTGATGCACTTTCCTCCTGTGTCTCTCTCTCCCCACCTACTTCCACCTCTCACCTGGCGCCACTCTCCCTGCAGTGAGCAGATACAGCCAGAAGCTGCGACAGCAACTGGGCCGCGACTCCAAGTTCGTCCTGTGCTATGCCCAGAAGGAGGAGCTGCTGCTGGAGGAGATGTACACGGACACTGTCGTGGAGCTGGTCGACTTCGGCAACGAGAGCCTGGGCAGCCTGGGCAGCCTGGCCTGCCTCCTGGACCCCTCCACGGGCGTCCTCAACGAGCAGGGCGAGACCATCTTCATCTTCGGCGACGCGGGCGTGGGCAAGTCCATGCTGCTGCAGCGGCTGCAGAGCCTCTGGGCCGCGGGCCAGCTGGACGCTGAGCTCAGGTTCTTCTTCCACTTCCGCTGCCGCACCTTCAGCTGCTTCAAGGAGAGCGCCTCGCTGTGCCTGCAGGACCTGCTCTTCAAGCACTACTGCTACCCGGAGCAGGACCCCGAGGAGGTGTTCGCCTTCCTGCTGCGCTTCCCGCACACGGCCCTCTTCACCTTCGACGGCCTGGACGAGCTTCACTCGGACTTCGACCTGAGCGGCGAGCCCGACACCTCCTCCCCCTGGGAGCCCGCCCACCCCCTGGTCCTGCTGGCCAACCTGCTCAGCGGGAAGCTGCTCAAGGGGGCGCACAAGCTGCTCACGGCCCGCACGGGCGTCGAGATCCCGCGGCATCTCCTCTGGAAGAAGGTGCTCCTGCGCGGCTTCTCCCCCAGCCACCTGCGCGCCTACGCTGGGAGGATGTTCCCCGAGCGTGCCGTGCGCCAGCGCCTGCTGGATCAGCTGGAAGCCAACGCCAACCTCTTCAGCCTGTGCGCTGTGCCCCTCTTCTGCTGGATCATCTTCCGGTGCTTCCAGCACTTCTACGACACCTTCGACGGCTTCCTGCAGCTGCCCGACCGCACGGTGACGCTGACCGACGTCTTCCTGCTGGTCACCGAGGTCCACCTGAACAGGACGCAGCCCACCAGCCTGGTGCAGCAGAACACGCGGAGCCAGACGGAGACCTTCCGCGCCGGCCGGGGCACCCTGCACTCGCTGGGCCAGGTGGCTCACCGGGGCATGGAGAAGAGCTTCTTCGTCTTCAGCCAGGAGGAGGTGCAGGCGTCCGAGGTGCAGGAGGGGGACCTGCAGCTGGGTTTCCTGCGGGCCGTGCCGGAGCTGGGCCTCGGAGGGGACCAGCAGTCCTATGAGTTCTTCCACCTCACCCTCCAGGCCTTCTTTGCTGCCTTTTTTCTGGTGGTGGACGACAAGGTGGGCACTCGGGAGCTGCTCTGCTTCTTCCAGGAGTGGGCTCCTCACGGGGAGGCAGCAGCTGCGTCCTGCTGTCCCCGCTTCCTACCCATCCAGTGCCTGAGGGGCCGTGGCCTGGCCGGGGAAGACCCCTTTAAGAACAAGGATCACTTTCATTTCACCAACCTCTTCCTGTGCGGGCTGCTATCCAAAGACAAACAGAAACTCCTGCGACACCTGGTGCCTGCCGCCACCCTGCGGAGAAAGCGCAGGGCCCTGTGGGCTTACCTGTTCGCCAGCCTGCGCTCCCACCTGAAGCACCTGCCCCGAGTTCGGTCTGGGGGATTCAGCCAGGTGCAGGCCATGCCCACCTTCATCTGGATGTTGCGCTGCATCTATGAGACGCAGAGCGAGAAGGTGGGGCAGCTGGCGGCCAGGGGCATCTGCGCCAACTACATCAAGCTGACCTTCTGCAACGTCTGCTCGGCTGACTGCAGCGCCCTCTCCTTCGTCCTGCACCACTTCCGCAAGCGCCTTGCGCTCGACCTGGACAACAACAATCTCAATGACTATGGTGTGCGGGAACTGCAGCCCTGCTTCAGCCGCCTCACCGTCATCAGGTGAGACCTCCAGGTTCCGGGAGCAGCCGGCGGGGCCACCAGGGCTCAGGGGACACCAGGACTGGCACTGTGGAGCGGGATCTCCTGGATTATCCTGGAACTCGTGGCCGGGGGTCTGGGAACATCCAGAGCTTCTTTGTCTCAGGGTGGCAGAGGGTAACGAGCAAAGCTTCGAAGTCGGGTGGACCTGGATGGGCCCCAGCTGGGTGTCCTTGAGCAAAAGTTGCTTAACCTCTTTGAGCTTCAGCGTCCTCATCTGGAAAAGAGATTCTCATATCCTAACAATTACAGTAATTAACAATCAGCATTTATTGAGAATGGGTGAAGTGCGTTAAAAATATTACCTGGTTTAATCCTTTTAACAACACTATCAGGTAGGTACTGTTATCATCTCCATTTTGGCAAACGAGGAAGCAGAGGCACAGAGAAGTTAAGTGGCTCAAGGTCACACAGGTGGGCCATAGGTGGAGCCAGAATCGTAAAGAACCTTTTGAGATTCATGTGAGGCTCAGAGATAGCCCGTGAAATGTTTCTGGCACGTGAAAGCTTTATGATGGCAGAAGCAGCAGACTTTGTGCTTATTAGCATTAGTTAACTTCCACGAAAAAAGCGGGCAGCCCTGAGCTGCCAGGGGATCTCAGTAAAGAATGCTGACTCTTGATTCGTTTCCTGTCTGATGGTTTAGAGGAAAGAAAAACCAGTCTCCTTTCTTCTATTAGCATTTTCTGTATTGAATACACCTTGTAAATCTCTAGGGGGGTTTCAGTTCTCCACTACTTGGCTCATGCATTTCTGAAGAGCAGATGGGATTTGGAACCGATTCCAGGTACCTGTTACACAAGCGCCAGAGCATACACTGTGGGGGGATGGGTGGGATGTAGGGAGCCCAAACCTGCCCCGGCCTGGGCATTGGAAAGCCTGGAATCTATTCTCTGAGCTCTCAGCCAGCGACTCTGTTTGTAGCCTCAGGCAACCTCACACTCAGTGCCTCCCTGTGACCATTTCATAAGATGGAAACTCTGCACCAGTATGGTGGTCCCCAGGTTTGCCTCCAAACCAGCAGAAGAGAAGGCAGGAAGAAATGGGCAACCCTAAGGAAGCATTTTGAGCTCCCTGAGGGCATCAGTGAGGATTAGTTTTGGCTGTTAGAGAAAACTCACAATACTGGTGGCTTAGATAAGTTACAGACTTATTTGTCTCTCATGCAAAAATCTAAAGGAGGGCAGTTCCGGGCTGCTGTGAGGTCTCAATGACCATCAAGGGCCCAGGCTCTCTCCTGCTTACTGCTCTGCTGTCCTCAGTACTTGACTACTATATCTTGGCCCAAAATGCCTGCTCACGCTCCAGCCATTCAGTTGATATTCTAGTCACCAGGAAGAAGGAAGGGCAAAGGACACACCCCATTCTTTTTTTTTTAAATTAATTTTATTGCGGTACAGTTGATTTACAGTGTTGTGTTAATTTCTGCTGTGCAGCAAAGTGATTCAGTTGTACATACATGTATATTCTTTTTCGTATTCTTTTCCGTTATGGTTTATCACAAGATATTGAATATAGTTCCCTGTGCTGTACAGTGGGACCTTGTTGTTCATCCATTCTGTATATAATAGTTTGCATCTGCTAATCCCAAACTCCCAGTCCATCCCTACCTTCCCCACCCTTGGCAGCCACAAGTCTGTTCTCTATGTCTGTGAGTCTGTTTCTGTTTCGTAGAGAAGTTCATTTCTGTCATATTTTAGATTCCACATATAAGTGATGTCATATGGTATTTGAGTTTCTCTTTCTTACCTCACTTAGTATGATAATCTCTAGGTCCAGCCACATTGGTGCAAATGGCATTATTTCATTCTTTTCCATGGCTGAGTAGTATTCCATTGTATATGTGTACCACATTTTTTTTTTTATATTGGAGTATAGTTAACAATGTTGTTAGTTTCAGGTGTACAGCAAAGTGATTCAGTGATACATATACATGTGTCTGTTTTTTTCAAATTCTTTTTCCATTTAGGTTATTACAGCATATTGAGCAGAGTTCCTTGTGCTATACAGTAGGTCTTTGTTGGTTATCTGTTTTAAATATGGTAGTGTATATATGTCAATCCCAAACTCCCAATTCATCCCTCCCCCGCACCTTTCCCCTTTGGTAACTGTAAGTTCGTTTGTGAAGTCTGTGAATCTGTTTCTCTTTTGTAAATAAGTTCATTTGTATGTTTTTTTTAGATTCTGCATGGAAGTGATATCATATGGTATTTGTCTTTCTCTGACTTCCTTCACTTAGTACGATAATCTCTAGGTCTATCCATGTTGCTGCAAATGGCATTATTTCATTTTTTATGGCTGAGTAGTATTCCATTGTATATATGTACCACATCTTTATCTGTTCATGTGTTGATGGACTTTTATGTTGTTTCCATGTCTTGACTATTGTGACTAGTGCTGCTGTGAACATAAGGGCACATGTATCTTTGAGTTAAAGTTTAGGACACACCCCATTCTTTTAAGAAGACTTCTCCGCTATTGCTAATGAGACTTCTGCTTAGATCTCACTGGGCAGAACCTAAGCACATGTGCCCAGCTGAAAAACGAGGGATTCTCTTTCTAAGTAAGCACAGATACTGGGAGTGACTAGTTGGCTCTGCCACCCTGGGATAGTCATGCAGTGTATGTACACACTGTGCCCCAGCACCAAGGTGGGTACCGTGAGTGGAGGGGTTCAGAGTGTCTGACGTGATCATTTTGATTGGCCTAAAAATCAAGCTTTTACCTCTTCAGCCTTTTACTTATCACAGAGGACAGTGTGTAATAAGTGGCCCAGTTTGGCCCATGGCTTGTGTTTATAGATAAAGTTTTATTAGAATACAGTCACACTCACTTATTTATATATTGGCTGCTTCACTCTGCAGAGCTGAGTGGTTGCAATAGAGACCAGATGGCCTGCAGAGCTTAAAAATTTGTTATCTGACCCTTTACAGAAAAAGATTGCTGAGCTCTGGTCTGTTCCTTCACCCACCCCTGACCCTCGCTCATCCCTCACGCTCCTCCATCTCTGAGCCTTACTCTGTCCCTCAGACTCACCTAAATAAAGGGGTGGAGAATTGAGAAGATCAGGGTAGTCTGTTTATAGAGAGCACTTGGTAGTAAAAAAAAAAAAATTGTTTTGCATTTTAGCCAAATCAAAATATCCTGCTAGTATAGGGCTTTCAAAGACCAATCCCCGTACACGCTGGGCCCTGTCCAGGAGATATCCATCATCCTGAGGCCCTCTTTTCCCTCTCCCTCTTGAAGCCTGGCCTGCTGAAGCAGCATTTGCATTAAAGAGGAGTGGGAGAGTGTGGACCTCTCACACTCTCCCTGACCTGCCTCATCCAGCTGTTTCTCCCTTGCCGTTGAACTTGCCGCACAGAACCACACCTCAGGAGCTGTGTCCCTCGATTGACCTTTTCAGGTGGCAAGTCAGGTTTCACACATGCATTTCCAGGTGGAAAGGCTCTTGGCATTTTGGGTGGGACAGTTCTTGTGGGGACTGTCCTGCCTTTTGCAGGACCCCTCACATTTCTGGCTGCACTTGCAAGATGGTGGAGCGTCCACTCCCCCAGCCTTATGACCACTAAATGCAGCTCTACACATTTCCAAATCCCATGGCCCCCCGCCGTGCAGTGAGAGCCACATTGACACATAGGCCACTGGCAAATGCAGGATATCAGGTGGCTGTCCACACATGTCCTTCAGGTGTCCCTTGTTGCCCTTGTGTTGAATCAGGGCTGTGCTGTAGCCTTGCCAATGGACTGGTTCTCAAGGGTCTCTCAGCCCCGTGAAGACCAGGGTCTGTAGGGGCCGTGTGGCTGTCTGCTATGGCCAGTTCTCTCGGGGGGACATCTATAGCTGGGAAGACTCCAGGGCCTACAGACTTGTGCATCCTTGTGGAATTCATGGTCTTTCACAGTGAGCAGCCGCTCTGATTTTTAACTTTCTTTGCTGTTTTCAGACTCAGTGTGAACCAGATCACCGACAGTGGGGTGAAGGTGCTATGTGAAGAGCTGACCAAATACAAAATTCTGACATTTTTAGGGTATGTATTTCTCAAGAACACTGCCACAGCTACATAGTAAGAATACAGAGCAGCAGGAGGTTGCCATTCCTATGGATCACTGGGTGGTTGAGACTGATGGCCCCAGGGTACCAGGAAGAGCACTGAACTGGGAGCCAGGAGTCCTGGGTCCTGCTTTTGGCTCGGCTAGCAGCCCACTCTGAGCAAGCCAGGAAACCTCACTGAGCCTCAGCCTTCTCATCCCCCTTGTATAATTGGGATCCTAATAGAGTCAGATAGTTTTACAGGTGGTGACTGCTGTAATGATAGAATTCCTGGGGATATGTTTTATTGACGTGAGAATACTGTTCATGTGGTAGATTTCACTATGGCGGGTCCGTGATCTGTCATCCAGAGCCCTTGGGGCAAGACACGAATCAGAAATTCGTGCCCGTGCTACCTAGCAGTGACATGACCAGTGGGATCTAGGGCAGTACCCCATTTTCAGATACTTTTAACATTTCTGCAGCAAAAGGTATAAACATTCAAACCAGTTGGGATAAAGACCATGAACAGCTCCACGTCGGTTGCCAAAATAGTTAGGAAGAAGTTTGGGTTCTCAGAGCCTTTGGGGTTTTGGGGTTTGACAGGAGAGACTGTGGGCCACAGCGCCGCCAGCCCCACGGCTGCCGTTGACTCTCTGAGCTGGAGCCAGCCCGTCAGCTTCCTTGATCCTCAGTTTGCTCAGCTGTCACATGAGAGCACTGAAGCCCTGAATCCCAGCTTGCCTTTTGGCTCTGGAGTTCTGCATGACTGTGGAACACTGGAAACCTGTCTCCTTACCACTTTCAACTCCTTTCTGCCTTACTGTTGAATTGGTGTCAAGTGGTAAAGTGACAAAAAAGGTAGACACTGAGTTGGTTCTAATGCTTAGAAACTTTTACCCCTTAAGATGCCAATCGTGATCTTAATCTGAAAATACCCCTCAACTGCCATTTATCGAGCACTTACATGCGAGGGCTTGGGATGATCTCATACAATCCTCATAACAACCCTGTGAGGGAGCCGTAATTCTTACCCCTGTATTACACATGGAGAAACTGAGGCACAGAGAAGCTCGGTACCTTGCCCCAGGTCATAAAGCTGGGGAATGTGCAGAGTTGGCCTTGAACCCAGCCTGAGACCCCACAGCCCCAAACTCAGGCCTCCACGTGCCCTTCCTTTCTCCTTTTGACCTAGACTTTGTAAATCAGCAGACAGCCCCCACTCACTTTAAAAAATGGGGTCCTAAATTCTCACGGCCATGCTTTCTCTCAAAGCTTATACAACAACCAAATCACCGATGTCGGAGCCAGGTACATCGCCAGAATCCTGGATGAGTGCACAGGCCTCACGCACCTGAAGTAAGTGGGGTGGGCACAGCGAGCGGGGTCTTCAGTAGCTTCTCCTGGTCACCCTTCATTGTTCAAGCAAAGAATAAATGCCACCCTAGAGCTGCCTTCTGCTTGCCCCAGGGCCAAATCAGGTCAAATCAGGACACCTGTGTGTAGAAGGCGAGCTGTGGGTGAGGCTCGGTGTTTGGAAGGGCCCCCTACCATGGGTGGGGGGAGAGTGTGGCATTTTGATTTCATTAACTCCTAACGGGAAGAAAGGCCACAACTATCACCCTTTCTGCAGATCGTTTTCCCCTGAGGAAGTCCCACATTGTCTTCGTCCATTTTGGCTTCTGTAACAAAATACCATAAACGAGGTTGCTTATAAACACGAGATTTATTTCTGACCGTTCTGGAGGCTGGGGAACCTTAGGATTGAGGCGCCAGCAGGTTAGGTGCCTGGTGAGGGCCCAATGCCTTGTTCTTAGATGGTGCCTTCTCACTGTGTCCTCACGTGGTGGTGGAAAAAGGGGAAAGGGAGCTTTCTTGGACTTCACTCCTAAGTCACTAATCCCATTTGTGAGGGCTGTGATGAGTGACTTTATCACTTCCCAAAGGTTCCACCTCCTAGCACCATCACTTAGGGGTTAGGATTTCAACATATGGATTCTGGTAGGGGTAGGGGGAGGCAAACCTTCAGGCCATAACATTGCAGATGAGAGCCTGATCCCTGGCTGTGCCACAGGAATGTCCTGCCAAAGGTGTCTGAGCACCAGCCTTGGAGGAGCCTGGCGATGCTGCCCTGGTGATGGTAACCTACCCCTTGACCATTTGCAGTTGAAGTGGGAACCTTCTGGTCTGCTGATGGAAATGAGTGATGCTCAGAGGTCACTTAAAGAGCCTCCGGGGGAACTCGGGTCCCTGAGTCTCTGCAGAGACTGTGGCCACCTGGAGAGGAATCACGACTGGCTTTCCTCAGGGCTTTGGGCCCCTCCCTGAGAGGACGCCCAGGGAGGGCTGCTGTAGGTCCCAGGAGAAAGACCACCCCTCCTAGGAGGGGCTGGAGGGGCTCTGTGCCAAGGACGAGGGTGGCTGATGCTGGAGTCCCCTCACAGCTGTAGCTGACGTGTGCACGACTCTTTCTGCAGACTGGGAAAAAACAAAATAACAAGCGAAGGAGGAAAGTGTCTTGCCCTGGCTGTGAAGAACAGCAAATCCATCTTTGAAGTTGGGTGAGTAGAGACGGATGCACACGGGTGTGCGTATACAGCCTGCTCTGTGTACGGGAGCGCCTGCTGGTCTTTTCGTACATCCATCTAGCCAAAGGACTGCTGGTGCAAGCTGTGGGGCAGAGGCTACAGAGAGCCTCCATCACAGATGCCCTGGTGGCTGGGCCCCACTGGCTCCTGCGTGGGAAATGTTGTGGGAAGTCCCAGGCTTGACTGCCACTTTAATCGCATGGACTTTATTTAATTCATGCAAAAGGCAGTATTTATCACCACCAGCAAATGGAGGGAGCTAGCAAATGGAGTTTTAGCCCTATGTGGTAAACTTCCTCAGGCAGGTGTGCTTCATTTTAAGATTATATAGTCTCTGGAGGCTTTTAAAAATTTTTTATTTTATATTGGAGTATAGTTGATTAATAATGTTGTGTTACTTTCAGGTGTAGAGCAAAGTGATTCAGCTATACATGTATCTATTCTTTTTCAAATCCTTTTCCCATTTAGGTTATTATAGCATATTGAGCAGACGTCCTTGTGCTATACAGGAGGTCCTTATTAGCAGAGGTCCTTGTGCTATACAGGAGGTCCTTATTAGCAGACGTCCTTGTGCTATACAGGAGGTCCTTATTAGTTATCTATTTAAACACAGTAGTGTGTATTTGTCAATCCCACACTCCCAATTTATCCCTTCCCTGCCCCCCACCTTTCTCCTTTGGTACCCGTAAGTTTGTTTTCTAAGTCTGTGAGTCTGTTTCTATTTTGTAAATAAGTTCATTTGTATCGTTTTTTTTTTAGGTTCCACATGTGATATCATATATTTGTCTTTCTCTGATTTACTTCACTCAGTATGATAATCTCCAGGTCCATCCAGGTTGCTGCAAATGGCATTATTTCATCCTTTTTAATGGCTGAGTAATATTCCATTGTATATATGTACCACATCTTTTTTATCCATTCTTCGTCTTTGGACATTTAGGTTGCTTGCATGTCTTGGCTATTGTAAATAGTGCTGCAGTGAACATTGGGGTGCATGTATCCTTTGGAATTATGGTTTCCTCTGGATATATGCCCAGGAGTGGGGTTGCTGGATCATATGGTAGCTCTATTTTTAATTTTTTAAGGAACCTCCATACTGTTCTCCATAGCGGCTGTACCAGTTTACATTCCCACCAACAGTGTAGGAGGGTCCCCTTTTCTCCACACCTTCATCATCATTTATTGTTTGTAGTCATTTTGATGATGGCCATTCTGACTGGTGTGAGGTGATATCTCATTGCAGTTTTGACTTGCATTTCTCTAATAATTAGTGATGTTGGGCATCTTTTCATGTGCCTCTTGGCCATGATATGATATTGCTGTGGCTATTGTTTGTCTTCTTTGGAGAAATGTCTATTTAGGTCTTCTGCCCATTTTTTGATTGAGTTGTCTGTTTTTTTGATATTGAGCTGCATGAGCTGTTTGTAGATTTTGGAGATTAATCTCTTGTCAGTTGCATTGTTTGTAAGTATTTTCTCCCATTCTGTGGGTTGTCTTTTTGTTTATAGTTTCCTTTGCTGTGCAAAAGCTTTTGAGTTTAATTAGGTCCCATTTGTTTATTTTTGTTTTTATTTCCATTACTCTAGGAGATGGGTAGAAAAAAATATTAATGTGATTTATGTCAAAGAGTGTTCTTCCTATGTTTTCCTCTAAGAGTTTTATAGCACCAGGTCTTACATTTAGGTCTTTAATCCATTTTGAGTTTATTTTTGTGATGGTGATTAAAGAATGTTCTAATTTCATTCTTTTACATGTAGCTGTCCAGTTTTCCCAGCACCATTTATTGAAGAGACTGTCTTTCCCCCATTGTATAGTCATGCCTCCTTTGTCATAGATTAATTGACCATAGGTGCATGGGCTTATTTCTGGGCTTTCTATCCTGGTCTGTTGATCTGTATTTCTGTTTTTGTACCAGTACCATACTGGTTTGATGGCTGTAGCGTCATAGTATAGTCCGAAGTCAGGGAGCATAATTCCCCCAGCTCCGTTTTTCTTAAGATTGCTTTGGCTATTCAGGGTCTTTTGTGTTTCCATACAAATTTTAAGATTTTTTGTTCTAGTTCTGTGAAAAGTGCCATTGGTAATTTGATAAGGATTGCACTGAATCTGTAGAGTGCCTTGGCTACCCAAGTCATTTTGACAATATTGATCCTTCCAATCCAAGAACGTGGTATATCTTTCCATCTGTTTGTGTCATCTTCGATTTCTTTCATCAGCGTCTTATAGTTTTCAGAGTACAGGTCTTTTGTCTTCTTAGGTAGGTTTATTCCTTGGTATTTTATTCTTTTTGATGTGATGGGAAACGGGATTGTTTCTTGAATTTCTCTTTCTGATCTTTCATTGTAAGTGTACAGAAATGCAACAGATTCTTGTGTATTAACTTTGTAACCTGCAACTTTACCAAATTCATTGATGAGCTCTAGTAGTTTTCTGGTAGTAAGTATCCTTAGGATTTTCTATGTATAGTATCATGTCATCTGCAAACAGTGACAGTTTAACTTCTTCTTCTCCAATCTGGATTCCTTTTATTTTTTTCTTCTCTGATTGCCATAGCTAGGACTTCCAAAACTATGTTGAATAAAAGTGGTGAGAGTGGACATCCTTGTCTTGTTCCTGATCTTAGAGGAAATGCTTTCAGCTTTTCACCGTTGACCATGATGTTACATGTAGGTTTGTCACATATGGCCTTTATTATGTTGAGGTATGTTCCCTCTATGCCCACTTTCTGGAGAGTTTTCATCATGAACTGGTGTTGAGTTTTGTCAAAAGCTGTTCCTGAATCTGTTGAGATGATCCTATGGTTTTTATTCTTCAGTCTGTTGACGTGGTGCCTCACACTGACTGACTTGCGGATATTGAAAAAGCCTTGCATCCCTGGGATAAATCCCACTTGATCATGGCGTATGATCCTTTTAATGTATTGCTAGTATTTTGTTGACGATTTTTGCATCTATGTTCATCAGTGATATTGGAGTGTAATTTTCTTTTTTGTGTGGTAATTTTGTCTGGTTTTGGTATCAGGGTGATGGTGGCCTCATAGAATGAGTTTGGGAGTTTTCCTCCCTCTGCAATTTTTTGGAAGAGTTTGAGAAGGAGTGGTGTTAGCTCTTCTCTAAATGGTAGAATTCTGTGAAGCCACCAGGTCCTGTCCTTTTGTTTGTTGGGAGTTTTAAAAATCACAGTTTCAATTTCAGTGCTTGCGATTGGTCTACTCATATTTTCTATTTCTTCCTTGTTTGGTCTTGGGAGATTGTACCTTTCTCTAAGAATTTGTCCGTTTCTTCCAGGTTGTCCATTTTATTTGCATACAGTTGCTCATAGTAGTCTCTTTTGATCCTTTGTATTTCTGTGGTGTTTGTTGTAACTTCTCCTTTTTCATTTCTAATTTTATTGATTTGAGTCCTCGCCCTTTTCTCTTGATGAGTCTGGCTTAAAGATTTATCAATTTTGTTTATCTTTTCAAATAACCAGCTTTTAGTTTCATTGATCTTTGCTACTGTTTTGTTTCTATTTCATTTGTTTCTGCGCTGATCTTTATGATTTCTTTTCTGCTACTAACTTTAGGTTTTGTTTGTTCTTCTGTCTCTAGTGCTTTAGGTGTAAGGTTAGGTTGTTTACTTGAGATTTTTCTTGTTTCCTGAGGTGAGATTGTATAGCTATAAACTTCCCTCTTAGAACTGCTTTTGCTGCATTCCATAGGTTTTGGATTGTTGTGCTTTTCATTTTCATTTGTCTCTAGGTATTTTTTGATTTCCTCTTTGATTTCTTCAGTGATCCACTGGTTGTTTAGTAGCATATTGTTTAGCCTCCATGTGTTTGTGATTTTTACAGTTTTTTTCTTGTAGTTGATTTCTAATCTCATAGCATTGTGGTTGGAAAAGATGCTTGATATGATTTCACTTTTCGTAAATTTACCAAGGCTCGCTTTGTGGCCCAGCATGTGGTCAGTCCTAGAGAATGTTCCATTTGCACTTGAAGAATGTGTATTCTGCTGCTTTTGGATGGAATGCTGTATAAATATCAATTAAGTCCATGTAGTCTAATGTGTCATTTAAGGCCTGTGTTTCTTTACTGATTTTCTGTCTGGATGATCTGTCCACTGATGAAAGTGGTGGGGCGTTAAAGTCCTCCACCATTACTGTGTTACTGTTGATTTCTCCCTTTATGGCTGTTAGTATTTGCCTTATATATTGAGGTGCTCCTATGTTGGATGCATATATATTTACAGTTGTTACATCTTCTTCTTGGATTGATCCCATGATTATTATATAGTGTCCTTCTTTGTCTCTTGTAATAGTCTTTATTTTAAAGTCTATTTTGTCTGATATGAGTATTGCTACTCCAGCTTTCTTTTGATTTCCATTTGCATAGAATACCTTCTTCCATCCCCTCAGTTTCAGCCTGTTTGTGTCCCTAGGTCTGAAGTGGGCCTGTTGCAGACAGCATGTATACGGGTCTTGTTTTTGTATCCATTCAGCCAGTCTGTGTCTTTTGGTTGGAGCATTTAATCCATTTACATTCAAGGTAATTATCCATATGTATGTTCCTATTGCCATTTTCTTAATCATTTTGGTTTTGTTTTTTTTTGCAGTACGCGGGCCTCTCACTGTCGTGGCCTCTCCCGTTGCGGAAAACAGCCTCCGGACGCGCAGGCCTAGCGGCCACGGCTCACAGGCCTAGCTGCTCCGTGGCATGTGGGATCTTCCTGGACCGGGGCATGGACCCACGTCCACTGCACCACCAGGGAAGCCCGAGTTTGTTTTTGTAGGTCTTTTTTCTTCCCTTCCTCTTTTGTTCTCTTCTCTTGTGGTTGGATGACCATCTTTAGAGTTGTGTTTGGGTTGCTTTTTCTTTTGTGTGTGTGTATCTATTGTAGTTTTTGGGTTTGCTGTTCCCATGAGGTTTTTTAATTTTTGAATTTTATTTTATTTGGTTTTTTATACAGCAGGTTCTTCCCCCCCCCCCCACCTCAGCAGACATTTGATTGCCAGTTAGCTTTATTTATTTATCGGGAATATACATATCAAGTATATAAAATGGAGTTTAACAAGCAATTACAAAGGAAGTACTTTGTACAACTACCACCCAAATCAGTAACCCCCAAAACTCCAAATATGCACACCCCCTTTACAACTTCACCGTCATCTTGGTCTGTAGGCAGCATCTAGTTGGGTTTTGCCTTTTTATCTAAACTGACAGTCTCTTTTTAATTGGTATGTTTAGATTATTCACATTTAATGTGATTACTGATTGGATTAAAATCTATTACTTTGCCAGCTCTTTTCCGTTTGGTCCAAACTTTTGTTTCTTTTTTCCTTTTTCTTGCATTAATGGGGATTTTTTTTAATGATTACATTTTGTTTCCACTATCGATTTATTACTTATACCTCTAAAATTTAGGTCTTCTGCCCATTTTTGGATTGCGTTGTTTAATATTGAGCTGCATGAGCTGTTTATATATTTTGGAGATTAATCCTTTGTCTGTTGATTCGTTTGCAAATATTTTCTCCCATTCTGAGCATTGTCTTTTCATCGTTCATGGTTTCCTTTGCTGTGCGAAAGCTTTGAACTTTCATTAGATCCCACTTGTTTATTTTTGTTTTTATTTCCATTACTCTAGGAGGTGGATCAAAACAGATCTTGCTGTGATTTATGTCAAAGAGTGTTCTTCCTATGTTTTCCTCTAAGAGTTTTATAGTGTCTGGTCTTACATTTAGGTCTCGAATCCATTTTGAGTTTATTTTTGTGTGTGGTGTTAAGGAGTGTTCTAATTTCATTCTTTTACATGTAGCTGTCCAGTTTTCCCAGCACCACTTATTGAAGAGACTGTCTCTTCTCCATTGTATATCTTTGCCTCCTTTGTCATAGATTAATTGACTATAGGTGTGTGGGTTTATCTCTGGGCTTTCTATCTTGTTCCATTGATCTGTTTCTGTTTTTGTGCCAGTACCATACTGTCTTGATTACTGTAGCTTTGTAGTATAGTCTGAAGTCAGGGAGCCTGATTCCTCCAGCTCCGTTTTTTTCCCTCAAGACTGCTTTGGCTATTTGGGGTCTTTTGTGTCTCCATACAAATTTTAAGATGATTTGTTCTAGTTCCGTAAAAAAATGCCATTGGTAATTTAATAGGGATTGCATTGAATCTGTAGATTGCTTTGGGTAGTATAGTCATCTTTACAATATTGATTCTTCCAATCCAAGAACATGGTATATCTCTCCATCTGTTGGTATCATGTTTAATTTCTTTCATCAGTGTCTTATAGTTTTCTGCATACAGGTCTTTTGTTTCCCTAGGTAGGTTTATTCCTAGTATACAGCAGGTTCTTATTAGTCATCAATTTTATACACATCAGTGTATACATGTCAATCCCAATCGCCCAGTTCATCACACCACCACCACCACCACCCCCGCCGCTTTCCCCAACTTGGTGTCCATACGTTTGTTCTCTACATCTGTGTCTCTATTTCTGCCTCCCATGGGGTTTTGATATGGCAGTCTATATATGTACAAGGTTGTTTTAAGTTGCTGGCTTCTTTCCCACCTAGAGGAGTTCCTTTCACATTTGTTGCAGAGCTGGTCTGGTGGTGCTGAATTCTCTTAGCTTTTACTTGTCTGTAAAGCTTTTGATTTCTCTGTCTAACCTGAATGAGATCCTTGCTGGGTAGAGTAATCTTCGTTGTAGGTTCTTCCCTTTCATCACTTTAAATATATCATGCCACTCCCTTCTGGCCTGCAGTTTCTGGTGAGAAATCAGCTGATATCCTTATGGGAGTTCCCTTGTATGTTGTCATTTTTCCCTTGTTGCTTTTAATATTTTTTCTATAATTTTTGTCAATTTGATAACTATGTGTCTTGGTGTGTTCCTCCTTGGGTTTATCTTGTCTGGGACTCTCTGCACCTCCTGGACTTGGGTGACTGTTTCTTTTCCCACGTTAGGGAAGTTTTCAGCTATTATCTCTTCACATATTTTCTCAGGTCCTTTCTCTCTCTCTTCTCCTTCTGGGACGCCTATAATGTGAACATTGGTGCATTTAGTGTCGTCCCAGAGGTCTTTTAAGATTGTCATTTCTTTTTTTTTTTTTAAACTGGGCCAACCTTTTTTTTAAAAAAACCCCACATTTGTTTATTTATTTATTTTTGGCTGTGTCGGGTCTTCGTTTCTGTGCAAGGGCTTTCTCTAGTTGTGGCAAGCGGGGGCCACTCTTCATCACGGTGCGCGGGCCTCTCACTATCGCGGCCTCTCTTGTTGCGGAGCACAGGCTCCAGATGCGCAGGCTCAGTAGTTGTGGCTCGTGGGCCTAGTTGCTCCACAGCATGTGGGATCTTCCCAGACCAAGGCTCGAACCCGTGTCCCCTGCATTAGCAGGCAGATTCTCAACCACTGCGCCACCAGGGAAGCCCATCTTCATTTCTTTTCATTCTTTTTTCTTTATTCTGTTCTGTAGCAGTGATTTCCACCATTCTGGCTTCCAGCTCACTTATCTGTTCTTCTGCCTCACTTATCCTGCTATTGATTCCTTCTGCTGTATTTTTTATTTCAGTTATTTTATTGTCTGTTTGTTTGTTCTTTAGTTCTTCAAGGTCTTTGTTAAACATTTCTTGATTCTTCTCAATCTGTGCCTCCATTCTTTTTCTGAGATCTTGGATCATCTTTCTTATCATTACTCTAAATTCTTTCCTGGGTAGATTGCCTATCTCCACTTCACTTAGTTGTTCTTCTGAGGTTTTATCTTGTTCCTTCATCTGGGAAATATTCCTCTGCTGTCTCATTTTGTCTAACTTTCTGTGATTGTGGTTTCCTTTCCACAGTCTGCAGGGTTGTAGTTTTTGTTGCTTCTTTTGTCTGCCCCCTGGTGGATGAGGCTGGTCTAAGAGGCTTGTGCAGCCTTCCTGGTGGGAGGGACTGGTTCCTGCCCACTGGTGGGTGGAGCTGGGTCTTGTCCCTCTGATGCACAGGGCTGTGTCAGGGGGTGTGTTCAGCCGGCAGTTGTGTGGTCAGGAAGACTTTAAGCAGCCTGTCTGCTGATGGGTGGGGCTGTGTTCCCACTTGGTTGGCCTGAGGTGACCCAGCACTGGAGCCAACATTCTATTGGGTGGGGCCAGGTGTTGGTGAAAATATGGCAGCCTCCAGGAGGGCTCACACCAATGAGTACTCCTGAGAACTACCGCCACCAGTGTCTTTGTCCCCACAGTGAGCTACAGCTGCCCCCTGCCTTTGCAGGAGACCCTCCAACACCAGCATATAGGTCTGGCCTAGGCTCTTAGGAGAGGTCACTGCTTTTTTCCCTGGGTCCTGGTGTGCACAATACCTTGTGTGTGCCCTCCAAGAGTGGAGTTTCTGTTTCCTCCAGTCCTGTGGAATTCCTGTGATCAAATCCCGCTGGCCTTCAAAGGCAGATTCTCTGGGGCTCTTCCTCCTCCCATTGCCAGACCCCCAGGCTGGGGAGCCTGACGTGAAGCTCAGAACTTTCACTCCTGTGGGAGAACTTCCACTCCTGTGGGAGAACTTCTGTGATAGTTTTCCAGTTTGGGGGTTGTCCACTTGGTGGGTATGGGATTTGATTTTATCACGATTGCTCCCCTCAAACTGTCTCGTTGTGGGTTCTTCTTTGTCTTTGGATGCAGGACACCTTGTTTGGTAGGTTCCAGCATTTTTTTCATCAATGGTTGTTCATCATTTAGTTGTAATTTTGGTGTTTTCATAAGAAGAGGTGAGCTCACATCCTTCTACTCTGCCACCTTGTCTCTGGAGGCTTTTTTTTGTGTGTGCGGTAAGTGGGCCTCTCACTGTTGTGGCCTCTCCCGTTGCGGAGCACAGGCTCCGGACACGCAGGCTCAGTGGCCACGGCTCACGGGCCCAGCCGCTCCGCGGCATGTGGGATCTTCCTGGACTGGGGCACAAACCCGTGTGCCCTGCATTTGCAGGCGGACTCTTAACCACTGCGCCACCAGGGAAGCCCTCTGGAGGCTTTTTTAATTCAATTTTTTATTGAAAATACACATAACAAAAGTTACCATCTTAACCTTTTAAGTGTACAGTTCAGTGGCTTAAGTCCGTATAGTTGCGCAACCATCACCATTATCCATCTCCAGGACTCTATCTTGCAAAACAGAAACTCATTCTCCCCTCCCCTCAGCCCTGGCAACCACCTTTCTATAGTATCCTCTGTTCCTGTGAATTTGACTACTGTAGGGAGTCATATAAGTGGAGTCATACAGTATTTGTCTTCTTTTGTGACTGGCTTATTTCACTTAGCATGATGTCCTCAAGGTTCATCCATGTTGTAGCATGTGTCAGACTTTCCTTCCTTTTTAAGGCCGTGTAACAGACCATTCTATATATATACCACAGTTGTTTATCCATTCATCTGTCAGTGGACACTTGGATTGTTTCCACCTTTTAGCTCTTGTGAATAATGCTGCTATGTACATGGGTGTACATGTATCTCTTTGAGACCCTGCTTTTAATCCTTTTGGGTATATACCCAGAAGTGGAATTGCTGGATCACATGGTAAGTCTATTTTTAATTTTTTGAGGAACCACCATATTGTTTTCTGCAGCAGCTATACCATTTTACATTCCTACTAACAGTGCACAGGGGTTCCAATTTCTCCACATCCTTACCAACAACTTGTTATTTTCTGGTGTTTTGATAGTAACCATCCATACGGGTGTGAGGTGATATTTCATTATGGTTTTGGTTCAGGAGACTACAGCTTTTCATAGAGTTATGATTTTTTCTCTGACTCTAGAAGAGACATAGATAATTTTATTTGTAAACTATGGAAAATATGAACAGTATAATGGAGATCATCTCAGAAATAATTATTGTCAACACTTGAGGTCAGGTAAGCTTTCTTGCTCTCTCTCATGCAGTTTATGTTCTCTCTATACTATTTTTTTTAATATGGTAGAGGTCAAACTATCTGTACAGAATTTTATTCTACCTTTTTTCACTTAATCTCATGTCATGAGTAGTTTTCCACTTTATTCAAAGTTTGATAGCATGCAGTTTTATCTAGTACACACACTTTTTACGCAAAATGCTGAAAACTCTCATTCTGGGGTTTTAGAAGCTGTACCGGCAGGGACGTCAGCAGGCCGCTTGCCTGGTGAGAGCACGTAGCTGAGGCAGCCCCAGTTCTGTGGTGAGCCTGGCAGACTTGCTTTCTGTAGACAGTGACCCTCAGCCTTTTAGGAATAGCTGACTCTTATTATAGGCTCAGCACTGTTTGGAGTGCTTTGCATATATTAACTCACTGAATCCTCACAACAACTCTGGGAGGAAATGCTCTTCTTATACCTGCTTTACAGACGAGACTAAGGCCTCAGAGACTACGCATTACCCAAGCACGCCCAGGTGGTGGGGGGCAGGGCCAGGATGGGAGCCCAACGTCTTACCATGCAGACCCTCGATTTAGCCAGATCCTCTAAGGCTTTCTACTGTGGGGGAGAGAATACGGCTTGTCATGGCACCTCCCCACCCAAACTGCAACAATCTGAACAACATGGTTTGGTCACCTCCTCTTTACATAGCAGGGAAATTGCCGATAAGTTTTCTCAGTGTGCTTTCTGATCTTTGCTTCATGCAAGACCGACTATGTCTTCAAGAATGTCCGGCACCCCTGCACAGGGTCAAATGGATATTGGGTCTGGCACCGCCACAGGCCTTCCTTTCAAGCTGCCACCAACCTGTATATCCTGCAGGTGACATTTCAGGGATAGCTGTGAGCTTAGGCTCTGACTGACAGCTCTCCAAAAGCTCAGGGGTGAGACTTGGTTCCTAATTGTGCAGCTGTCTGATTTGATTTCTGTTCATAAGCCTTCTACTGCTTTTTTTCCTCCCGAGCAGCTCACTAAGGGGCTGGTGGAGGGGTTCATCTCCAGGCCACAGCTCCAGGGATGGAGCAGAAACATCTGTGTGTTGAGTATACACACCATGGCCACGAGCAGAAAATAAGGGATGAGCATGAGGTAACTTTCACTGTCTTCCCTCTGCCCTCAGGATGTGGGGCAATCAAATCGGTGACGAAGGAGCAAGGGCCTTCGCAGAGGCTCTGAGGAACCACCCGAGCTTGACTAACTTGAGGTAACTGCTGCCTTCTGAGAACTGCCGTCTTCAGGGCCAACCTGGTCACTCCGTGTTCCTCTTGTTTTACCAGAGGAGGAGCCAGGGGAAGGAGGGTGGCTGGCATTCCTAACAGGGAAGGTATTTGTGTGTGTGGCGTTTCTTTTTCTTTTTAAAAATGTTTTTATCGACATAGAAGAGGCATACAGTTAAGTATATTATGCTTAAGTTTTCAGCTCTGTGATGTGACATGTGCACACACCAGTCAGATCAAGACTAGACATTGCCAGCCCCTCTGTAGTCTTCCTGTGCCCCTTGGGGGTTGGGGAGGAATTCTTCAGTCAAGACAAAACTGAAAGACACTGGGCCGCAGATTCCTGCCCCCTCCTCATTTCTCAGGATGGTGCTGGGACAAGAGGGGATCCTTCACCTCTGTAAACAGACTTGGTCCTCCCTGGCCCTCCTTTAGGCCTCTGGCCAAATCTCTGAGACTTGGGGGTCTCCTGGTTGCCCGTGTCCTTCCTGTCACTGACAAAGGGTTAAATACGGTGGGGGCAGTAGCAGAGTTCCTTCCATACAAGAACAGAGGAAACTTCTCCAGGCCTCACCGACAGGCGCCTGTAAGGTGTCAGCCTCCGAAGCAGAGCTCGCCAGGCGTCCTCAGCCCGTGTGACCAGGTCTTGCCATGTTCCGTTTCCTGTCTGGCCTCCCCTTGAGCAGTCTGGTGATTGGCCTCGTCCTGGGCTCTGGAGCGGCAAAGGCTGAGTGGCTGCTGGTGAGGCTGGCACTTACGCTTCCTGCTTCAAATCAGCCCAGGCAGGAACCACGTCCAGGTGGAGTCTTGCCAGCTGTTTAGTTGCTGAAACCAAAGCCAAATGTAGACGTGTTTTTAATAACCTACCCCAAATGTTTTTCCTTCCTAGTCTTGCATTCAATGGCATTTCTACAGAAGGAGGAAAGAGCCTCGCATGGGCCCTGCAGCAGAATGCGTCTCTGAGAATATTCTGGTAATGACCAGAGTCATTTTGAACGGTTGGGTCTCAGGGATTTTTCCAAAGACTGTGCACAGCCTGGAATCTTAACTGAAAGAGTGCCTCTCCGTTGTAAAGGCTCTAGGCCTTTCCTCAAAGGAAGGTTTATAATTTCATTTCCTCCTGGAGAAGAAAATAGCCATTCCCAGAAGCACAAACAAGTACAGAATGGGTGGAATGGGTCCCAGGAACATGAGTTTGAGACCTTAGCCTTCTTTGCCTACCCTAGGCCTCAGGAAAACCAGAAGGCTAGCTATTCTGTCAGGATATCCTCGGAACACCCTCAGATATGCCTTGAGGAGTCCAACTTTCATTCACTTGTCTCAGAACTTTCTCCCTTCTTCCTCTTAAACTGCCTACCCCCCGTGCAGCCTCCTCTGTCCCCAGGTAGTCACATCAGGACTTGGCCTTCATGCTCCAGCTCACCCGTCACGGGAAGCCCACAGCCCTCGCTCCCTCTCTGCACTCCAGGGCCACTAGTTAACTGTGTGTTACCTTCTGACAAGTGATGCTTTTTTTCTTTCTTTTGGTTGTTCCTTTTTTCGGTCATTTACTGTATTTTTATTTATTTACTTGCCTGTATCATAAATTGCTTCCGGGAAAGGAAGTTATATTACATGTCTCTGTATCCTCCTCATGAGGTATTGGCTAAATTAGTTAATGAAAATGTCGTCATTATGAGAATTCAGATACTAGACCTGCTGGCCAGTAAGTGCGTTTTCCTTTTCCCCTCAAAAAAATCTTTTAAAAGATTTTGAAAAGTAATACATACTTTTTTGAAAAAAATATAATACACTGAAGTTGGGAAAGTAGGAAGTGAAAGAACCTCCTCCCTCATGCTTTCTAAATATAATCTTTTACTTCTAGCATTTGAATGTATATTCAAATAAATATCGCTTTTCTTATGAAACTGAATAGTATTTAGCAAGTGACTTAAAAAAAATATCTCAACCATATATTGTACATATTTGACATGTCCTTCCTTTTATGTCAGGGTTTCTCAATCTCAACACTGTTGGCATTTGGGTCCAAATAATTCTTTTTTGTTGAGAGGCTGTCCTGTGCATTGTAAGATGTTTAGCAGAATCCCTGGCCTCTACCCATTAGATACCAGTAGTAACCCCTAATTGTGACAGTCGAAATTGTCTCCAGACATTGGCAAGTGTCCCCTGGAGAAGTCACCCCAGTTGAGAACCACAGGTCTAGGGGGATAATAATAATGTCAATCCCCAAAATCTCTTGAGTACTCACTGTACATCACACATTGTTCTCAGCCTTTTCCATGTATTAACTCATTCTCACAACTGTGTTATGAGGGCTGTACCATTACTGTTCACATTTGCTGGTGAGAAAACTCAGGCCCAGAGAAGTTCAACCACGTGCTGTGGTCGCCCTGCTAGTAAGCCATTGCCAGCCGGCATGTCTGGCTCAGAGCATCTTGAGCCCCATGCTCTTCTGCCTCTTTCTTTATCCTACCTCATTCTCTCTAATGGTTGCACAGTGTCCCTTGAATGTACACTCACAATGTATTTTGCTGGCTGCCTCTACTGATACTGAAATTTGTTCACATCTTACATTATGACCGAAAAGACTGCAACCAATACTGCATGTATAGAACCTGTGTGTAATGTCTTTGCACACCACAGGGTGGATTTCTAGACGTTGAATTGTTGGCCCAAAGTGAAACACATTTAAGGTGTGGATAGACACTACCAAATTGCCCTTCAAGGAATGATTTTTTAAATGTTCTTTATATTCATTTCTCCTTCCTTATTTATTCTTTCATCCACTGGCACAACAGGGTTTAATTCTCTTTACAACCAGGAACTTCTAAGCCCTCTGTACTTTATCCAGACCACTTCCTGCTTTTACGAACAACTGAGAGACTTCCTGAACTTCCAGTCACAGAACTCGGGTCCTTCATAAGTGGCCTCGGAGCAAAGTGATGAACACATTGTAACGTGCAGTCGGCAGGCTTTTCTAGCTCTTCATCTGACTGAGTTTAGTAACACACTGTCCGTGGTGTTCAAGGGATCTTAACGGCTGGAGACCCGAGAAGCAGGCACTGGCCCCTCGCTTTCTGTGGGCCCGTCTTCTGAGAGATCTGAGGGCTCAGCAAGGATGGGGAGGGAGTATGGGCTCCCCCCGCAGCAGCAGGGCTAAGAAGTAGGAGCTTGGGTGAAGGGTTTGCACTAGAAATGAACCTCCGTTTATTGTCTGTGGGGCTCAGAGGCTGGCTTGGAGCCTGGCTGTTTGCTGGGTTCTCAGCAAGTGATGAGCTGCGTAAGCTGCAGACGCCGGGGCTGGGATCTCGCTTCTGTGAACTCAGTGGAGAGTGGGTGCCAGGTAGCGCTGTCCTGAGTCGACACTTCCTTTCTTTTCCAGGCTCACCAAAAATGAACTTGATGATGAAGTGGCAGAGAGCTTGGCAGAGATGTTGAAAGTCAACCAGACGTTGAAACATTTATGGTAATTCAGATTTAAACACTGTGCTTTTTAAAAAAATATTTTTTGAGATTCACATATCATAAAGTCACACTTTTTAAGTGTACAGTTCAGTGGTTTTTAGCATATTTATAAGGTTGTGCAACCATCACCACTATCTTGTTTTAGAACATTTTACAAAACTACCCACCTCCCCTACCCGCCAGAAACCTGTACACGTTAAGTAATCACTCCCCATCCTTCTCCTCCCTTAGTCCCTGGCACCTGCTAATCTACTTCCAGTCTCTATGGATTTGCCTATTCTGAGCATTTCATAGAAATGCAGTCATACAATATATGACCTTTTGTTTCTATGTTCTTTCACTAGCAAAAGTTTTCAAGGTTCACCTACATTGTAGCATATATCAGTACTCCATTGCTTTTTATGGCTGAATGATATTCCATTGTATGGACAGTCCATGTTTTGTTTGTCCATTCTTCAGTTGGTGGACATTTGGGTCGTTTTTACTTTATGACTATTATGAATAACGCTACTGTGAACATTCGCGCACGTGTTTGTATGTGAACATGTTTTCATTTCTCTTGGGTATATACTTAGGAATAGAATTGCTGGGTCATATGGTCACTCTGTGTTAAATGCCAAACTGTTTTTCAAAGTGGTTGTGCTATTTACATTTCCACCAGTCATGTATGAAAGTCCCCATTTCTCCATGTCCTCACCAACACTTGCTATATTGTCTGTCTTTTTTGGGTAATGCCATCCTAGTGGGTGTGAAGTGGTATCTCATCATGGTTTTTTTTTTTTTTTTTTTTTTTTTGGTTTGTGGGCCCTTCTTTTTTTTTTCCTCTCCCGTTGCGGGGCGCAGGCTCCGGATGCACAGGCTCAGCGGCCATGGCTTATGGGCCCAGCTGCTCTGCGGCACGTGGGATCTTCCCGGACCGGGGCACGAACCCGTGTCCCCTGCATCGGCAGGTGGACTCTCAGCCACTGCGCCACCAGGGAAGCCCTCATCATGGTTTTGATTTGCATTTCCCTGACTGCTAACAGTGTTGGGTGTCTTTTCATGTGCATATTGGCCATTGTGTACCTTCTTTAGAGAACTGTCTCCACATCCTTTGTCCATTTGTAAATTGGGTTTATAGGCCTTTTAATTGCTGAGTTGTTAGAGTTCTTTATATATTCTGGGTGCTAGACATTTACTAGATACGCGATTTGCAAATATTTCCTCTCTTTCTGTGAGGTTTTTCATCTTCTTGAGAGTGACCTTTGAAGCACCAAAGTATTTAATTTTGATAAAATCCAATTTATCTATTTTTTGTTTAGTTGCCTGTGCTTTAGGTATCTTAGTAAGAAATCATTGGCTAATCCAAGGTCCCAAAGATTCCTTTAAGTGTTATAGTTTTGCTCTTACATTTAGGTCTTTGATCCATTTGGAGTTCATTTCTGTGTATGGTATGAGGTGTTAGGGGTCCAGCTTCATATTATTGCATGTAGATATCCAGTTGTCCCAGCACCACGTGTTGAAAAGTCTCTTTCCATTTTGAATGGCCCTGATGCTTTTGTCAAAAATCAGTTGACCATAAATGTGTGAGTTTATTTCTGGACCTTCTATTTTAGTTCATTGAGCCATATGTTTATCATCATGCCAGGACCACACTGTCCTGATTATTGTAGTAAGTTTTGAAACCAGGAAATGTGGGTCTTCCAACTTTGTTCTTCTTTCTCAATATTGTTTTGACTATTCTGGGTCTCTAGCATTTCCATGTGAATTTTAGATCACCATGTCAATTTCTGTAAAAACAAAAAAACCCAGAGTGTGCTACTTTTACATCTGGTTTTTTTTGGTTTTACTCCTTTTCTTTCTGACCTGTAGACGTTCTTTTATGCCCTTCCCTAGGTGTCAGGCCAGCCCCTCCACAAGAACAGAGCTAGAACAGGGCTAGAGAGTCTTAGCTCTTGGTGCCAGTACAGACTACACTGGCTACAGTGAAGGTAGCCAGTGGGCATAGGTACCTGGCACTGCCAGGCTTTTTACTTCTCCTCCTACCCAGCCTCTTGCCAGGTCTAGGCTTCAGGCAGCTCACCCTCCCCCCAGCAAGGTGTAGGTGGTGCCAGTGTTTGCAACTGTGGAAGGGGTGATTAGGAAACAGCAGAATTTAACTGAATGCAGAACTCAGTGCCCACTTCCAGGTTCTATTTTTGCTCCTTTTGCAAAAATGTCCAAGTCACACTGTGGTTGTACTTACCAGAAGGTCTCACCTCTGCCACTTGGCCCAGGGGCCCCAGTCTTTGAGAGATGTGCTGGGGATCACTGGGTCCTGGCTGCAGCACAGCCACCGAGTCCTGTGTGCTTGGGCAGGAATGGTGACAAGAGCTCCCTTCCCCTGGGCGCCATGGTAGAAATGATGAGAACTACTTCATACACATCCTCCTACTTCATACACATCCTCCTATTGAAATCTCACACACCCAGGGTAGCGGGGTTCTCTTATAGTTACTCCCATTTTATAGATCAGGCAGCTGAGGAATAGAAAGCTTAAGTTTATTTCTTCAAGGATCTGCAGCTGAGAAGTGGGGAGTGGGTGTATGTATATGAGGAGAGCTTTTAACCACAATGCTATACTGCCTCCTTAAGGGACGGGCTTAATTTCTATAATCTCATTAGTCACAGTAATATAGGTCATTATCTTCCTGGTACACAGCTACCTTCTTGGATCAGTGCCCAGAATTTCTAAAGGTCAAGTTCAGTAGTAGCCTTATGCTACAAATAGCTGGGGGGTGAGGAATGAACCTGTGATGAAGCACAGGCGTATCACTGACTTGTGCTGCTCTTTCCTGGGTGGGTTAGACGCATGGCTTCCCAGGGGAGCAATTTGGGAATTGCCCAGGCTTCCCAGCTATATCTGAAATCTTTGTTTCATTAGAATCAATGCCACCCAACATAATGGGGTATACTCTTAGAAGCCCCATTATTGATACTTTTCCACTGGGACCCATGAGTAGCAGCAGAACTGTTCTTCCTCCCTCCCTCTCAGATGTTGGAGAGGACATGGTACCATCTTGGAAGCCTTTGTTTCCCCCAAAGAAGAGAAGGGCCAGCTCTTTAAAAAATACTTAACTTTAAAAACTGCCTTGCCTTTCTCCAGCCATCTGGAAGGAGACATCAGACTGCCTGTTCCCCAGATGTGTTCCTTAGAATTTGTTGTTCAGACTGGTAGTCTCCAAACATTTTTGATTGGGCACCCCTGCAGTGAAAAATGTCAAGCACACATGCATACATATATGTTCATGTATTAAATTACCTACATATGAATATACAGATATATTATGCTCACTATAAAAATACACAGAAAAGTTAAACATTTAAAACAATTTTACTTAAGTATAGTTGATTTACAGTGTTGTATTTAATTTCTGCTGTACAGGAAAGTAACTCAGTTATACATATATATATTCTTTTCCATTATGGTTTATCACAGGATTTTGAATACAGTCCCCTGTGCTATACAGAAGGACCTTGTTGTTTATCCTATATGTAATAATTTGCATCTGCTAATCCCAAACCTTCCCTCCCCCTTGGCAACCACAAGTCTGTTCTATTTGTGAGTCTGTTTTTGTTTCATAGATATGTTCATTTGTGTCGTATTTCAGATTTCACATATAAGTGATGTCATATGGTATTTGTCTATCTCTTAATGACTTAATTTGCTTAGTATGATAATGTCTGGGTCCATCCATGTTGCTGCAAATGGCATGATTTCATTCTTTTTTATGGCTAATAATCCACTGTATATATATATATACCATATCTTCTTTATCCATTCATCTGTCGATGGACATTTAGGTTGCTTCCATGTCCTGGCTATTGTAAGTAGTGCTGCTGTGAATATTGGGGTGCACGTATCCTTCTGAATGATGGTTTTCTCTGGATATATGCCCAGGAGTGGGATTGCTGGATCATATGGTAGCTCTATTTTTAGTTTTTTAAGGAACCTCCATACTGTTCTCCATAGTGGCTGTACCAATTTACATTCCCACCGACAGGGTAGGAGGGTTTCCTTTTCTCCACACCCTCTCCAGCTTTTATTGTCTGTAGACATTTTGATGATGGCCATTCTGACTGGTGTGAGGTGATACCTCATTGTTGTTTTAATTTGCATTTCTCTAATTATTAGCGATGATGAGCATTTTTTCATGTGCCTCTTGGCCATCTGTATGTCGTCTATTTAGGTCTTCTGCCCATCAGAAAAATTAAACATTTTAAAGCATGTTCTTTATTTTCATGGATCTGATCGACACAATCTCAGCAAGATCGAAAACTTAAGGGGACTCAGTTCTTCCCCGACCCTGTCTCTTATCCCATCATATCCTTCCAACCCCCTAATGAAGTGGGCAGATTTAACCCAGTATTACTTGATACAAAAGATATATCCTTCTTTCAGGCTTATCCAGAACCAGATTACAGCCAAGGGGATTGCCCAGTTGGCAGATGCATTACAGAAGAACACTGGCATAATGGAGATTTGGTAAGACCGATCTACCACTTGTAATGATAACAACAACGATTATTTACTCAGCACCATTTACTATGTGCCATGTACAATGCAGGGCACTGTCCATTTATTTCCCATCTTTCCAACAATCTGTAATGTAGGTAGTATTGTCTCCATTTCACAGATGTAGAAACTGAGGCCCAGACCAAGGTCCCACCTAAAAGGAGAAGCTGAAATTCAGCCCAGACTATGACTCCATAGTCAGGGCTCTCCTCCCCAGCCCTGCTGTCCTGCCTACTGTCCTGGGTTGCACGGGGGCAGACATACTGGGAAAGGGATTCCCACTGAAAGTTAATCACTCTGGGACTCATGAGCCTGAGAGATGGCCATGCTGGCCCAGAGTTTAAAGCATGTTCTTTTCCTTCTCTGGGCTTCCAGGCTGTATGTGAGCTGATTGTACTCTTTTTCGACTTCCTGTTTCTGTTATGCTAGCAGAAGGCAGGCATGTGCTCTGCTTTGCTGCAATGTTGAGCCCCATTTCCTTTCCTGTGCCTCCTACGGGACACACAGCCCCGAGGTAGGACTGGGCCTGTAGCATATTCGGGGGGGGGGAGTGTGTGTGACCCATTAGTGACAATGGTTACACCGCTGGGCTGACTGCTAGGGAAACAGCAGTTAACTGGACAGAAAGGTCCCCGACTGCCTCAGAGTACTGATGTAACCTAGCTGAGAACAGAGGGCTCCGTGTCTCTGAATCCAGACCCCCAAGTGCTCTGGAATTTGCTATCTACCCCAGGCCTGGCCTGAGACAGCCCAGCAGTGTGTGAGGCTCAGACCTGCATGGGAACCATGACACAAAGCCAGGGCCCCGTGAGGACAGAGACCCACAGGAGTTCATGCTACCACTGTGGGCCCTGAGATCCACGGAGCAGCCTCACCGTGAGCCAGACCCTCAGCTCAGGGGGGGAGTTGCTCATTAGCTACAGTTCTTTCTTCATGACTGGGGAGAAGAATTTCACAGCCAAAAACAATAGATCAAGGTACAGCTACCTCCCTGACCTTTTTAAATTTCGCTGTAGAATTTGTTAGTGGATCATAAAATTGGTTTGGTGGGTTGCAAACCAGCATTATTTAAAAAATGAAACAGAGCCAGAATGCTCTGTGCCTAGTATGAAATATTCTTTCATAATCTCATTTCAGATGTGGGTGTGTACGTATACACAGATACTGGTTCACAATGTAAAATGTTCTTATTTGAGGTCACAGTCAGAAAAACATTTGAAAACACTGTCCTAGAGTAGAAAGCCCAGCTCCAAGCAGACCAATGGAGAGGCTGTGGCATGTGCGCCTTCAAGGCCGAAGCCCGCTCCTCAGCCCTCAAAGGCACTGGAGAGCCAGTGGGATTTTAGTTTGCGTTAATCTCCAACCACCCTCAGCCTGTGATCCTTTCCTAGAACCACCCTGTTTCCTACTGACTCTGTTGTTTGTTTGAGGACAGCAGGCAGAGGAGGGGAGCAGAGAGGAGGGGAGGCCAGGCTGCAGGACAGTCTGTGGACTACAGCTGGCTTCCACCCTTCTCAGGGGCTGGTTAGGACGGTTGTAAGGATATGCAGCTGCTTTAAGTCCATCAAGCTTGAAATGGGCCTTTGTCACCTACCAACAGACAACCGTTGTTCCTACACAAGGAACTATTTGTGTAGGACCAGGTGTCGATCTTCAAGGCATGCTCTGCAGAGCCTGAAAGCGTCACTGGTGTCAGGGAGGACTCAGAAAGAGGACAAGGAGGAGGGCTCGGGTGCTGGCCCAGGAGTATCTTTACTTCAGCCCCTGGCTCAGCCCAGGTGTCTGACTCCCTGGGACTGGGGTCTGTGAGGGTGCTGGCTGTGTTGGCCCTGTCCAGGGGTTGAGCCAGCAGGGGAGTGGAGATGAGGGAGCAGCTCTGCCTGGGGCCACACTGGCACAGATGACCTTGGACCATTGCTTTGGACTCATTATCTGTACTGACATTTATTTCTGCCTTGTCCCTGTCCAAAAAGAACTTGAGGTCTGAAGTCCCTCAGTCTTCAAAGACAGAAGTTAGCGGTGTTCAATGACCTGGTATTGCATTTACTGCACTCCATTGTAATAGCTTCCTGTGAGGCTGTCTCGTCTAGACTGTAGCTCCTTGAGGGTAGGGCCTGTGTCATGGTCACTGCTGAGTCCCCAGGGAAAGCACCGCATCTTCATTTGTTGAACAACAAAGTGCTTGTGTGCCAGGCATGATGCTGGTACCAAGAGTCCAGTGGTGAACAAAATGGACCTGCCCTCATGGGTGTACCCTCTACTGAGGAAGACACAGTTAAGAAACAAATCATTCAAGTAACTATTTAATTACAATCATGATGAGTGCTAGAAAGGGGAAAGCTAAGAAGGGAACCTAATACAGATGAGGTTTCAGGGAAGGTCTCCCTAAGGAAGTGGCATTTAAACTGAGCCATGAAGGATGAATAGGAGTTCATCAGCTGAAAGTGTTCCAGGTGGGGGAAATAGCACGTGCAAAGGCTCTGAGGTATGAAAAAACACGGTGCCCTTGAAGAACAGCAAGAAGCAGATGGGCCTGTGGTTGACAGTGTGGAAGAGGGAGCAACAGGAGGCAGAGGAGACTAGACCATAAAATATCTGTGGGTCATGTTAAGTATTTTGGTCTTTATCCTAAAAGCAGTGGAAAGTCATTGAACAGTTTGAAGCAAAGAGGGATGTGATCAGATATGCATTGTAAAAAGACCACTCTGGCTCCTCTAGGAAAGCGGATTGGAGGAGGCCAGAGGCCATGTAAAGGGATGGTCAGTAGGACACTGCAGTGAGCCAGAGAAGAGATGATGGGTGCTTAGGTCAGGATGGTGGTGCTGAACATATGGAGAGGTTCCAGGGAGCCCATTCTAGGGGTATTTAAGGAATAAAACAGAACTCTGTGATAGAAGATGAGGATGAAGGTTGACCCCCAGGTTACTAACTTGCACAACTGGATGTAGAGTTGTACCATTCATGGAGCTACGGAACCCTGGGGAGATGTGCCCACTTTGAGGTACCTGGGAGGTGTCCAGATGAAGGTGTCAAGTAGGTAAGCGGCCCCACAGTGGAGCGGTCTGGCCCAGCTCAGTGACATGTGAATGAGGCCAGGGATAGATGAGGTTCTTCTGGGGAAGAGGGCCAGGCCCCAAGCCTGGAGGAAATCCATTATTTGGAGGTCACATGGAGGAGGATATAAAAAAGGAGACAGAGATGGAGTGGCCAGATGTAGGAAAGAAACCAGAGAGCATAATATCAAACCAAGGGAAGGTGGTGTTTCAAGGAGGAGGGAGAGGGCAGGACAGCCAAATGCCTGTGAGGGTCAGGAAAGACAAGGGCTAAAAACTGTCATTTAAGTTCAGGTTTATAGAGGCTATTGGTTACCTTAGTGAGACCCAGTCCATAGAGTGATGGAAAGACAAGGGCTAAAAACTGTCATTTAAGTTCAGGTTTATAGAGGCTATTGGTTACCTTAGTGAGACCCAGTCCATAGAGTGATGGTAGCTGGAAAGGATTAATATGTGAATATCAAACAAGTCATCAAGATGGCAGGGTAAGAGGACGTGGAGCTTACCTCCCCCACAAACACATCAAAAATACATCTACATGTGGAACAAGTCTTGTGGAAAACTAACTGGAAACTGGCAGGAGAATTCCTGTACAACCAAGGCTGCAAGAAAGATTCCCATGTAATCACAGAGGATGGGAAAAAAAGCATCAGGACAGAGCCCATGGGAGGGGACCAAGAGGAAAAGGAAGACCAGACAGGTGGATACGTGCCCTGGGGAGTGAGCAGGTTGAGCCACAGACTGGGTGTCCCACACAGAGGAGACAAGCCCCATTGGCTACTTGGAGAGCTGCTAGGACAGACAGAAAGGCTGGAGAAGCCTAGACTCCAGTTGTGAGGAGTGCATGGGCGCTTGCTTACCACCAGAGAGGGCAAAGCGAGGTCTGCCCTAGCATGGTGGTGTCACCACACTCTCCAGTCCCAGCTGAGCAAACAGCCCAGCCCCACTCATTCCACAGCACAGCTTGGCACTAGATCTAGGGCAGCCAGGTCCTGGGAGAAGACTCGATCTAGAGATGCAGAGGTGGCCCAGGAACCTGGGGGGTGGTCCAGGTAGGGCAGCTGCAGCCACTGTTAGCACTTACTAAAACAGCATTACAGAAGCAGCCCAGACGTCTGATGGCAGCAGAGCTGCTTCAACTCCCACAGCCATAATGCCATGACCCCTAGTGCTAGCTGAGCAAATGCTCCAGCCCCACCCACTCCACACCACAACCTTGCACTAGACCTGGGATGACCACAATGGGGAAAAGACATGACCTTGGGCTGCATCTGAGCAGAGCTGCAGCTGCCTACACAGGTGGTGCCATTGGACCTCTGTAAGTGCACAAGCCCCAGTGCAGGGAGAAGGAAAAACATACACTTAAAGGGAACAGAGCCAGCTTGAGCCCAACCCTCAGGGCATTCACTCCAGCAACTTACGAGCAGCCCCCTGCCCTGTGTGATGGCCACTGAGCAGAGAGGAAGTCCTGCATCACACCCTGTGCAGGCTCTAGCTCTTTCAATTCTAGCCACACCCCCATCAAGCTGATAGGGGCCAGCACATCCTGAAGAACACATGACTGGCATCCACATCAAAACCCGTCCTCACACCAAAAACACTGGGCACACAGTCTACATGGGGACACTCCCACATAAAAACAAACACCCCTTCAAGACCACAGTAGGTAACTGTTTCACCTAAATTCACTGAGACAGAGAAAGTTAAGTAAAATGAAAAAGCAGAGGAACTATTCCCAATTGAAAGAGCAAGAGAACCCCCCGAAAAAGTAATGAAACAGAGGTAACAATGAGTTCAAAAAGTTGGTAATAAAAATGCTAACTGAATGAAGAAAGAGTTGATCTAAGCACAGATCATTTTAACAAAAACTATAAAAAGACCCAATCAAAAATAATTCCATTTTAGATACAAAGCACC